GGGTAGAGGACTGCTGCTCGGTGCCGGCTGAAGTCCAACCGGAGGAACGTTCGAGACAGTAGCAACACCCGTAACGGAGGTGAGAGGGGAAGGTACTGGCTTAGACATGAATGCTGCTGGGAGCGGGTCTCGTCTGCATAGTAGTCAGCCAGGTACACACTGAGATTGCCAAATAACAGCCTCACCTCCTTTCTGGAACCTCTCCTCCAACGACTTTGGTACCCAGTGCAGAAAAAGACCTTGACCTTGGGCGGGCACTCCGGGCACCCCCGACATGCGGCACAAAACCCGGGCGAAGGACTGGTAGCGTTGTCGTCACTGCCTGTGTCGCTTCCTCCACAGCTGCTAGTGGGGTAGCGGAAGCTGTCGGAGAGCGCCTGGGTAATCGTAAGGGTGACTGTTCCAAAGGACTGGGTGCTTGTTCCTTTGCCTCCCCAGGTTTAGATACATCGGAAACAGGGGTTCGCCCTCGGGGTGGTACCGACAGATTTCCACCAAGTAGACTCTTATGTGCTGGTGGAGGTAGGGTTGCGGATCTTGTTGGTGGTATAACTGTCGTCAAATTGGGGCTATGAGGGGGGGCACCATTGGCAGAGGGATTTAAAGGAGGAAGTGGCTCTAGCGAAAACACGATTGGTACTGGTCCCATGCTTGCACTGAGATCAGGTTGGCACCGAGCAAAAATGGTCATTGGAGGACGGCGCAGAGGCGTTGAACCTTGTGCAAGTGAAGCACTGCGTAGACGATGAAGTACTGGTGCTGCAAATGTACTTGAGTTGGGAGGTGGCGGAGGGTACAGATTGCTACCAAGTCCGGTGTTAGAAGGACCGAGAGGGTATGGTTGAGCCTGTGCGGGGCGTGCATACATTGGACCAAGACCTTGATGACCAGTAGGCTTCGGTGCATTAGGGTGTGGAAGGAAGATAGAAGAACGAGAAAATGGATGTACGGTCCGATTCGGTGGGCGCTTATGCTGCGAAGCCTCTTGTTCTGTAGACGACAACGTCGGCGTCAGCACATTGGACATTGAAGGCAGATTGGCCGTGGGCGGCGTGTCTGAGGAGTTGGACGTGAATGAATCGCCTCCATGTTTATCTGGCAGCCGCGTGCAATGGTTGTCGACCACGGTGGCAATTGATGCTGATGCCAAAGCCCCTCCTTCAACAGAGGTATCCGGGCTTTCGAAAGGAGACTTCAAAGCCCCAGCTGGCAAGTCATTCTCGTCCGGATATTGGTCCACTGGGTCGCGTGTATGTTCTGCTCCATTTTCTGTGTCGGTGTGTATCCATGGCGGGTACGGAGAAGCGGAGCGTAACGGCGGCGATACTACCGGGTTCGCGGGCGGTCCATCAGTTGGTTGAATGTGGTCGCCTGTGACGAGAATTTGCTCAGCCTTTGCCTCAACGCTAGACCCTTCTGTAACATGATCCTCCGTTGATTCATGCATTACCTCCATTTCTAGATGTACGTCGTCCCCACATTCCATGTGGCCATCGTTAACTATCCGAAGACGTGATTCGACACGTACTGGGACGCCAGTTGGTACCGCCGGGAACTGCGAACTTAGGCGATCAAGTGTCTGTGTCGAGTACAGGGAGGACCGTGTGTCATCCGAAAAAGAGGGGTCAAATAACTGGGTCGGTGGGTGCTCGTTTCGCTGTGAAGTGGATGATTCTGCAGACGTTGCTGTCGACGTCGAACCGAAACTTGGTCGCGAATACAAATTCGGGCGCTCATCCTGCACGCTATATTCGCTTGGTTGATCGCTTGTGATACTTGGTTGTTCGAAGCTACGATCCGTAGAGAAGCTTGGCCGGTCAGCAGACAAGCTGGGGCGCTCCGTAGACAAAATCGGAACAGGTACGGGTGGTGTGCGCGAACCCTTGGATGTCCCTGAAGTTTTCGAACCTGCAGATACTTTGGAGACAACGCTCATTCGGCGCGATACTACTGAGAACCTTTTAGAGGCTAGTGAGTATCGAGAATAGCGATAGTCATCGTATATATCGTCCCAGTACCCGCTCTCCTCGTCCTCCGCATCTTCAAGCTCTTCGTGGGCTTCACGTGAGGGTTCTGGGAACGGGTTTTTGCTACCTGTGGAGTCACCGTCGCCATCAGCACGCGTTAGGGAAATAGATGATGCAGCATGTCCATTCGTCATTTGGCCACGTGACAAGGCAGCTTCCGGGACCACAGGCGTTCGTCGTGCCCAGGGCGTGGGTGTACTCCCGCTACTTCCTGGGGTCATGGCACCTAGACCACCACTCACCACGCCCAAGGGTATGTCCTCATCAGAATCATCACCGTCACCATTAAACGGTCCCATCAGCGAAAGCCCGATCCCAATCTCACCGTCTGAGTTTCCATCTTCACCATTGATAAGTACTTTCGAATCTCCTTGCTGACTCTTCTTTTCTGTCTCAATGCTACCTTGTTCGGAACCGCGGTCTCCAGGCCTATCTGATACGTTGTCGAGCCAAGTTCCCGACACCATACTATCCTCCTCGTCTTCTGACCGGAAAGTTACGTTTCCATCCTCGTCCGCGTCACGTAACTTTCTGCGGAACGCGTCGAGGGTCGATAACTGGGTCGAGTTGCCCTCGTCGAAATCACCCATATGTTCATCCTCTTCTGGCGTGCCCTTCTCTCCTCGTGGTTGATGTACGTCACCGGACAACGGTGCTGGAGGGAGTGGGCTGGTTGGTGGTGCAGATAGTGGGGGGCTTATACTTGCAAGTCCGCCAGAGAGGGTAACGTATCGGCTAGTGGAGCCCGGCCCATATGGGTTTGGAAGGGGAGATGACGAGGTTGATGCACCAGATGAAACATAAACTTGAGTTCTTGGTGGAAAGGCGGGAGAACGGGGAGAAGGGGAATGCGAGCCCGGGAAACCCGATGAAAGGGACAAGGCTGGTGAAAGAGACCCTGACAAGCCAGAAGAAGGGACAGGGCTTGCCGACGAAAATGACCTGGGTGGCGCAAGTGATAATGGGCTATTGAGAGAGGAGTAAGACCCTGGCAGACCGGGAGAGAGTGAACCTGGAACTCCGGCTGACGGGGCAACCGACGAGGGCGAAGGAAGTGGCGACGAACTCGCTGGTGTCTGTCGGGGTGATTTAGAAAGCCTGAGCGGTGCGACTATCGGTAGGGTCGGTGAAGAATTAGAGACAGAAGCCATGGTTCCAAGGCCGAACCCAGATACGGACGATGGGATGGTAATGGCGACAGGTTCCCTATCATCGGCACACAGTTTCACGTCGACAGAACCTTCAGCGTCATTGGAATCCGCGCCTTTGAGATAGTCCAGAACGGTCGATATAGAAGAAATCCCGGCAGAGAAAGGCGGAAGCTTACCTGAGGGATGTGACGCAGATGGCGAGGATGTGTTGAGCCCCGCGTGATCCGTCTCCGTGACACCGGAGGCCACTGAACCACTAACAGAGCTTGCAGTCGAGTACGCCGACACCGACGTAGCTGTTGATGCCGAACGCCCCGACCGGACGGAGTACACTGAACTTCCGGACACTGAACCTGCGGAACGTGACGCTTCGGCGGATCCGCTCTCCTTGCTGTCTCTCCCATCTTCCTCCATTTCAAAGTTCATGCTGGTCGCAAAGGAGCTGGCTAGTGACTCCTCGGAGTGCGTGGGTGAAGGCGACCAGTAGGTCCCTCTCGACCCTGGCCATCCTGTTGAGCATCCATCCAAACTCTCTCTTCTACCACTCCTATCCACATTCGTAGGTGCACCCCGCTCTACGACCGCGATTGACATTCTCTCTGCCCCGCTGGCAATGCTTGTCCTTTTCGTCATGACGGGCTTCTTGAGCTTCCCGTGGAAACGTACATCTTTGGCTGAGAAGCGACCGACGACGCCTTCACAATGGCCCTAAAGGCAGCAGGTGGTCAGAGGCATGGTGCCCTGTCCAATATGATACTTACCAGGTAAGACCCCTTTTCCGGAAGTTGCATTAACACAGTGATTTCGTCATCCTGTGGGGAAGACGAGTTATTATCTTTACCACCGACCAGATCAGGGTGCAGGAAGCACTTTGGATGGGTAGTGCCGCATCAAAGAGAGCTGCGTGAAGGTGCAGACTGCATTCGGCCACAACAAAATTGACCCATACTCTCTCCTACGAGACACGGCAGAGTGAAAGCAGGGTCCAGTCCAAAATCGCAGCTTGCAACCCCCCTCCCGAGTTCGGATGAAAATAGGAAGAGGCTCACCTTTAGAAACATCAAGTCCTCACCCATTTCCTCCGCGACGCAGTCTACAATAGCGGTACACTTTCCAATGCCACCCTTGACTGCGAAACGCGTCCAACGAGCGAGATCACGGGCATTCATTGCAAATGACCCAAACAATGGACGCGGAAACGAAGAGGCGAGGTTTGGCTAAATAACTAGCAAAGTCGAGACGTGACGTAGCAATGAGTCAAAAATAATGCGTCCCGGGCCACGGCGGAATTGTAGAAAGTTGAGGATTCTGAGCCCTCGGAACCGATAGGTAGGGGATATCGATACGTTACGCTTGTTCGATGCGGAAACGCGGGCTTATTAGAACGTGCAAGGGTGGTGTTGACCTGTATAATCGTTACAATAAACATGTGACCAGCGGGAGACGTAGGAAGACAAGGACAGGTCCGCCAGACGCGTGCGCACGAGCTCAGTAATACTGGACTGGGCAGGTACCACTTCGCTCGCGCGATCAAATTGCCCAGGCCCACGGGTGCCTGTTCGACGAGAGAAAAACACGAGCCAGCTAACATTGCAAATTGACCGAAGTCACTACTCACCTCCAACGCTTTCTCTCCAAACCCTTCCCCTCCTCTGACAATTTTAAAAAAAAAAGAAAAAGAAGTGGCGGGAATCCGAACTGCAATACCCCTCCGCCGTCAATTTTCATTTTCGGTCCGCTCGAGTGGGTTGGAGTCGATTACATAATATAACCCGAACCGGCGTCAGGATAAATGGAGCACCGCCGCTAGCTTGATGGCGGTGGCCGACTAGCTCAGTTGGTTAGAGCGTCGTGCTAATACCATGGTTGTGGTGTACGCGAAGGTCTTGGGTTCGATCCCCACGTTGGCCATAATTTTTTTCGGTCCCCCTCCAGCCGATGCAAGTACTCCATGAGCATCTGAGTCGAGCGCAAACGTCTTGACTGGAGATTTATTCACGGCATTGCATGCAGGCGTCTACATGAATGAGTATAATAATAACAGCAATGATGATGGACGACTAAATATGGACACATACACCGTCTGGCTGACGTGCCCCTAGTTCACGATCTCGGCCGACTTTTTAAACAGCGTGGGTCCCTGTGCCCCGCGTGTGTGCCTGTACTGTTCTCCCGCCCACCACCATTTTTCCACGCCGTTCAACCTATTACTCAGAATCCCACTGTCGTTGACTGTCTTTCTTTTTACTTAGAACCTACATGTGGCCAATCCTTGGGTGGTTGGCATGTTGCGCCTGGCTCAATGGCGTCCACGCCCAGACTGGAGGCACCTTTGTGCAAGCTGGCAGCACCCTTGTCAGCGCCATGATGGTGCGCCTCCACCGTCCATCCATACATCCTTGTCAGCTCATCCACCCGTCCAGATGTTTCTTGGCAACCAAGAAAAGGTCTATATATTGGACAAGTCGGAGGGTAACGCAGCACAGATCAATGGGCACCCCGCTTGGGGTTCAATCTGGTCCGTCGTCTGGCCCATTCCAGCGCTTCATCTTACCTTCCCGCAGGGACATTAACACCCACCAAGCTACCGTAATGGAGGTCGTCACAAACACATTCTGCGCATCCGGAATGCATCTTCCCAATGGTTCATGGGCCACGTTCGGAGGCAATAATGCTGTTGGAATTGGTACTTCGTCCACATCATACCGTATCTATACCGTCGTTCCATCACTGACTGGCTCACAGGCGGCGCATCACCGGCTGGAGGCTATGACTCGGTTTATGGAGACTATGACGGGAGAAAGGCCATCCGCATTTTGAATCCTTGTACAAACGCAGATGATTTTTCATCTCCCCAGTGCCAGTGGTATGACAATCCTGCAGTTCTTTCGATGCAAAAGAATCGCTGGTACGCTGCTGCGGAGGCACTCGCAGATGGAACGGTCGTCCTTATCGGTGGCTTTGTGAGCGGAGGTTACGTCAACAGGAACTACCCAAACACGGACCCAACGTACGAAGGTGGCGGTGCGGAACCCACATACGAGTTCTACCCAAGTCGCGGTTCAGCAACCCTAATGCAGTTCATGACTACCACGTCCGGATTGAATTCCTATGCGCACACCTATCTAATGCCTTCAGGCAAGATGCTCGTTCAGGCCAACCTATCTACTAGTAGGTTATCATTTTCTTCTCTTCGCCACATCTCACCACGGTTATTTAGTTTTGTGGGACTATACTCAAAATATCGAGTACCCACTTCCCGATATGCCTAACGGCGTAGCTCGCGTATACCCTGCCTCCGGAGCTGTGGCCATGCTTCCTCTAGTCCCCGCAAACAACTATACCCCTACTGTCCTCTTCTGCGGTGGCTCTGACATGCCTCCGGACTATTATGGGAACTACTCCTGGCCATTCTACAACACTTGGACCTACCCAGCATCCAGTGACTGCCAACGCCTGACTCCAGAACCAGCGGATGGTTCTTCGCCGGTCTACGAACAAGACGACAATCTACTGGAAGGGCGGACAATGGGTCAGTTCATCACGCTACCGGATGGCACTCTACTCCTCGTGAATGGCGGCCGTAATGGAACCGCAGGTTATGCCAACCAGACGCTCTACGTTCCTTCTCTTGATCAGATGCCGTACTACCAATCTCTGGCCTCAGGGCCAGTCGGTACACCCGCAATCTACAACCCCAACGCTCCGAAAGGCTCCCGCTGGTCCAATGCAGGGCTTTCGACGTCCAACATAGCCAGATTATATCACTCCTCCGCAATTCTATTGCCAGATGCCTCCGTCCTGATCGCGGGTTCGAACCCAAACATCGACGTGACCCTCACCTCTCCGTACCCCACGACCTACACAGCCGAAGTCTTCTACCCACCCTACTTCTCTTCTAGCGTTCGCCCCCAGGTATCAGGCATCCCAAATACCTTGAGCTATGGCGGAAATTATTTTAACCTTACGTTATCTTCGTCATCTTATACCGGCGTAACGGCGAATCAAGCCGCGGCAAATACGACTGTCGTGGTTTCCCGTAGTGGCTTTTCCACACATGGGATGAATATGGGTCAACGTCATCTCCAGCTCAACAACACATACACAGTAAACGACGATGGTTCATACGTTTTGCATGTCTCGCAAGTCCCACCGAATCCCAATTTGCTCACCCCTGGTCCAGTCTTGTTATTCGTTGTCGTGAATGGCATTCCGAGTAACGGGACGATGGTTATTGTGGGAACCGGGCAGGTAGAGACGCAACCTACCTCTTCTGCTAGCCCTCTCCCGCCGAGTGTTACTGCGACTGCACTTCCATCGTCATCGTCTTCTGGTGGAAAGACAGGTGGTGCGATGGGCTTGAAAGCTGAGCCTACATTGGTATCTTTCCTCTGTGGCATAGCGGTGGTAGTTCTTGGGGCCTGTTGATAAATTTGGGGAACCGGGAGAAGGTGTGCTTTTTGAAATTCAATTATATCGGTTTATGAACGTTCCCCGGGTTGCGAAGTTGTATGGAGGTAGGCTGCGGACAAACAGACACTAGTTACGTTACAGGTATATCATACCACTCTCCTTCGGGACTCATTATAGGACTGTCTGCGGAAGTAGTACACTTGGACTTTTCTAGCTCGTGTCTGTAGATGTTTTTACATGACGAGTTTTTCGCAAGTTCGACCTTGTTTACCCCCCACGTATCAACGTTTTCCTCAGTGAAATTGAGTTCTTTTTATGACACGCAGTCACCAACCTGACGTCACGTTGGATACCAGGGAAAGGCGCATACCCAATATCCTGTTGATTAGGGTGCTGAAGGTTCGCCATCTGGGGCGCTAGGGCCCAGTAAAGGACTTGGTTTTCCAAAGAGGCGTCCCGTGTGTGGTATCTTCGTTCCGCGGATCAAAGATTGACTTTGAACAAACTTCCAAGGCTCTGAGGATGCCCCCCTGTGAGTTGGCGCGGTCAGGCGAGTCCGAGGGTTGATCTTACGTAAGACGGATGTCTCGGATGTAAAGATCGATCCTGTTCATTACTCCACGGAAGCATCGCGGACCACGACGATGCCGCTCGCATGTGAAAATATCCAACTGACCGATTCATAGATGCTTATTATTCGACGTTGCGTGCGAGCGCCGAGGGAAAAGCGCCTCTCGCAAGCCAGGTCAGCTCTGCGCCTATCCCGTCACGCTGGCTGCGCGCGCGACCGCGACTGCATGGAAACATGTCTAATACGCACTCCGGGCACACTCACTTTTCACGCCGCCAAGACCCTTCTCCCTGTAATGTCTTACCCCTCGTGCTCGGCATGTCACAGTGCAATCATAATTCCCCATCCTCTAACCGGTTTCCCGACATTAGTTCGCCCGATACCCAACCCACGGATACTCTCATCTCCTCAGACACTAGCACTCCAAGTCACTGGGTATCTACTACCTACCAATCAGCTCCAACTTACACGCCGTCTTTACCCTCGAACTTCCTTGTAGAAGAACTTCCCCAACCGCGCGCCGCTCAATTCGTCGATATGTTAGAAACCCGTAGTAGTGGCGTGCGTATCACTTACCCCTCTCCAACTGGTCCTGCACCACATCCTTCTACCCCCTTTCTTCCACCATATCCCAACAATACCGTTCTCTCGCCCACGTGTCACCATTCCCCCGTATCACCATCCCCCCTTTCCCACCTCGCTCAGCCGGCCTTAGCTATATCCAACTCACCACCCGACACTGGCATCCCCAGGCGTGCTGTCGCAGGATCCCTGGACCCCAGCACTGGGATATTCTATAGAACGCCAGAACCTCCGCGGTTGCGAACAGCACAGGCATGCGAAAAATGTAGAGTGAGGAAGGCAAAGGTACGTGCAATTGCATCTTGCAGTCATGTGCTTCGAAGGGATGCGATATATGAGTATTGATCGATGTGCAGTGCAGCGGCGAACACCCCGCTTGCCAGCGTTGTCTCTTGCGTGGCCTCGCCTGCGTCTACGCTCCGGAGGGGCGCATCCGTGGTCCGACCAAACCAAAGTTGAAGCCACTGACCGTGGTCTCACCACCGGAATCTCGGTCTACGCGTCGCAACAAGAACCGATCATCCTCCAACACTAGCTCCTCGTCCACCTCCAGTCCTACTTCTACCGTGTCTGTGTCTTCCCAAAATAGGTCATTGGCATCGCCCCCCGATTTGGAAGCCACATCCCAACAACCCTCGCGCCGACGCACTGGCTCATGCTCAGACGTCATACCAGACCGTCCCCCGGTTGGGATTGTAGATGGAGACAGTACGATAAAAGTTCGGAGAAGGAGTTTGGTTATTGATGCAAGTGCTCGTTTACCCGACGAGGGTATATCTCCGTCTTCCCTGGTCCTCGATGCATCGAAGATGAACGGGGTGAATACCAATGAGAGTAGCAACGGTAACCAAGATTACTTGTAAGTACGACCGATATTCTCCTCCATTCTGGTGTCTTTTATTTCTTTGTCTCGTGCTCGATATGTCGTAATTACGCTCCTTACAGCACACCCATCACCCCAACGCCGATATCGCCCACTACCCCTCCTACTTTTACACCCGCCAGCTTAACAGAATCACCGATGACACCAGTTTTTCATCCATCGACCGGCTTGGTTACCTCAGGCTCCCAGCCAACGATGTGTGCTCAACCCAATTCATCTCCCTGCTTGCCTTCAATCCCTTCGTTATATGACGACTACTTTACTCAAGACAATGGCGACCTTGGCTTTGGGTACAACCTTTCCCCGTTCGGAACTAGTCCCATATTGCACCGACAAGGTGCATCAACACAGGCGACAGATTCGAGGACGGGAACTACAGTGGATATTGAGGGCGCTTTTGGTGAGTATTTGGATTGGACGTGTTTGAAGGACGTCAAAGAACACCGGGAAGGCGACCTCAGC